TCTTGGAATTAGTATTTGATAGTGGTCTTAAGACTTCAGTGGTTCCATGTAAGATTCAATTCTCACCATTTTGTTATAACAAAAGATTTTGGGACAACATGGTGGGTTGCATTAGAAGGTAGTGAATTTCTAATTATAGGTGATGCAAAAGTATCTACACTACCCGAACGACCATTCACTGGGGCTAAGGAAGAAGAGGTTTATGCTTTAGGTAAGGGATTGACTAGTTGACCTCTTGAAGTTCCTTTTATCTCAAGGATTTGAATTCAAGCAGAATGAGAAGGGTAGCTGATTGGGGTTACCAAGAGTAGTTGCTTGAGGGTGCCAGACTATTGAGAATGATGGTTTTCTCAATTAGCTCTCTTGGCAATTTTCATATGAAAAAGCAAAAGTTTAATCCTAATGTCCTAGCCACATTTTGCTTCTTAAAAATATCTCTGTTCCTTGGACTAGACTAAGATATTCTTTCTCTTCCATCTGAATTTCTAAGCCAATGACAGTTGTAAGGAAGGATTTTGGGGGAGTGGGGTGCTGTGTGGCTTGTATGTTAACTAAATCTTTTAAGGACTTCAAATATCCTTTGCTATCAATGACTTTGAAGACTGATTACATAACAAGTATGTAATATATGGAAATATAGGACAGAAAGAAAATGCAATATATCTGTAGCTATTCCATGGTTAATTTTCTTGAAGATAGTTTAAGAAAGGCATTTTAAATTATATTATACAAAAGCTCTATGAACTTTATTAAATATTATCCCATTCTTTTTTAATGTAGAAGTGCCTTAGAGGAGTAATATGCTTGTTGAGTTTTTTAAGAGTTGTGAATTTGCTCACTATGGGATGATCAAGAAGATATTCTTCATTGGAGATCCTGGAAATAAGACTCCAGCACTTGGAAGCAAGCCAAATGTGCACTACATATCAACTTAGCCTCCCCTACTGCCCAAGGCCCACAGCTGCTGAGATGTTGAAACATCCTTGAAATTAATCCTCTTGCACCCAGGCCTAAAATTGGCTACTCTGACTTTCTTTTCCTACCAGCACCTGAAATGGATGGTTCTATCTCTGGGAAACACATATCAGATATGTTTTATGTTTTCATATTTGGGAAGTGGTATAAATGGAGGCTAACAGGACAGGTCTTTGAATATTTTGAGCAGTCATATTTAAAGAAAATTGAATCAGAAGCCCAAATAGCCAGGCTGGGTTAATTTACAGTCTAGCATTCGAGAACAAAATTCCCTGGGGCTGCTATTTTCTAAAGGCGAATTCAGGAAGGAAATGATCTTTTACTTAAAGACTACCTGCCTTGTTTTATGGGTTATCAATTTTCCACCTGGCATGCTGTTCTACAGTCACTCTGATTTTTTCCATCCCCAAGCAAGAACCGAGTTGCAAAAAAAAAAACCAAAAATGTGAAGTCTGCACTTTGGCAGACCAATTGGAAGCTTGGCTTTCTGAAGATGAGGAGGCCTGTGATGCAGACAGAGCTGCAGCTAGTGAAGTCACAGAAGCGGCCAGACCTATACTGGGGCCTGGCTGCATAGATGTCTTTGTCAATATATACGTTAAAATCTTAGCTAGAATTACTTTTTACATTACAGGATCACTGAATCTTGAGATACATGATAAAATTCATCTTTGCTGCCTTTGGGGCAACTTTGTTTAGGTGGATAGTCAACAACAATACAAAGACTTTGATTTCCTTTTAACTGCTCTGCTGAATCTGTGTCTCAGCTTATCAACCTTTCAAAACCTTAGAAAGGACTAAATAGGTCCCTCCTCTTCCCGCCCCCACCTTCACTTCGATATTGATAAAGTCAACCATCTGAACAGGAACAGGTGACAGGGGCCTCAAAGGTTAACAGGAGCTGATGCTGTGTCCAAGAAATCAGAATGAACAGACAGGCCTTTCTCACTACCCATACTCAATGTCACAAGAGATGATTCTTTTTGAAAATGGAGGAGAATAATTAAGGGAAGGCAAAGCCAAGTGGAGATAATCTGCTCAATTTTAGTGTCACCTTCTATCAGAGACCCCTCTCTATCACCCAGGTGTTAGGGCCTTTCCTAATCCCAGATGATGTATTTATTTTGCTTTTGTTTATTGTGTATTCATTGTTTCTCCCCAGTAGATCATGAGCTTATTGAGGGTGGACCTTTGTTGTTTTTGTCTTTGGATGCTCCTGCAGTCAGTACAGTGCTTGGCACTCCATAAATGCCATGCATGCATGAATGACACTGTTTTTTTAGGTTATGAAAACTGAATACAGTATTTAAAATTATTTTATAGTTTCATCACATTTTTAAGTTCTTTCCAGACTTCCTTTACCTGTGAAAGGAAAGAATCGTGTAGGAAAATATGAATATTCAATTAACTACTTTAAAATACGGCCTTTGCTTGAGCAAAGTACTGGCGTTAATATCAAAGAAACGTGGAAGATGATTACCTCGTTTTCAACTGGAACATTAATTCCTCAAAACCAGAGTTCATCCCTTATGATCTGCCAATAGTTTAGTAAAGGAAACTGGTCCTTATAACAGATGGGCTCTATACTTCCAGGCTTGCCAGAAACCTAATAAAAGACACTGGCTTCTTTGCAATGAGGGATGAACGCTTCTCAGATGGCCAGTATCCAAACTGGAAGTCAGCAGTTTAAAATAAAGAAGGCATACTAGAGTGTGGCAAAAATCAGGAACACAACAGTAATTTTAAGGCCACTATCATCAGCTGAAACCTGATGTGTCTAACTCATTTCTTAAGACCTGAGCAAGTATCTTCTATAGCTAATACAATCAAAACAGAAATCAGCCTGTCCTTTGATTTGTAAGTAACATGGTTTATATGATAATATCAAGCAAATTAGAGGCTATTTTTTTCTTAAAATATATTGAAAATCCTGAAAATTTTTATTTTACTTTTACATAATCGCAATGACCTATCTTCTTGGTTTTGTCCTCATAGTTTCTGCATTGACACCTACCATGCTTTGGTGATCAATATCTACCTGTTGATTGGCAATGTAACTGGCTTTACAATAATAAATAGCATCAACCTTCCAGGGTGGTTGTGGGAATCAAATGAGATATTTTAAAAATGCATAGCACAGTGCCTGGCACAAGGCAGGTGCTTAATAAATACCTGCTTCCTTCTTTCCTCCCCTTTAAAATGGACTATACCCAAAAATAGCGAAGAAAGAGGAAAAGGATTTGCATGCACAAAAATATTTATGGTAGCTTTTTTTTGGTGATTACAAAGAACTAGAAACTGAAGAGATATCCATCTATAAGAGAATGATTGAACCAGTTATGATATATCAACATAAGGGAATATTAATGTGCTATTAAAAAAATGAAGAAAGGGGTGGGTTCAGAAAAACCTGGGAAGCTTTCTATGAACTGATACAGAGTAAAGTGAGTAGAATCAAGAGAAAACTTTTAGAAATAACAACATTATAAAGACAAATAACTTTGAAAGACCAAAGAATGCTGATGAACATAATGAGACACATTTCTGAGTATGATCAACGCAGGAATTTGTTTTACTTGATTATGCATATTTGTTGCAAAGATTTTGCTTCTTTCTTTTTTTTCAGTGAGGGAGGGAGGGGAAGAGGGAGTGAGAGAAAAAAGATTTTTAATTGAAAAAAATTAAATTTTAAAAATGAATTCAAATCAACTTGTTGTCGTCATTTATTTGAAGGGCTGCCATGTACAAAAGGGATTAGATTTTATTTTGAAGGAATCCAGAGTACAGAACTGGGACCCAGAGAGGCAGCTTGATGTTGTATTTGAAAGAGCAACAGCTTTGGAATAAGACCTGGGCTCTACTATTCAATACCTTTGTAACACTGGGCAAGACATTCCAACCTCTTTGGCCTTCATTTTTTTTATCTGGAAAAGAGGCTTGAATTAGATATTCTCTAACAACAACTCTCTCTATACATATGTGAGTGTGTGTGTGTGTACATACATTCTTATAAATGTGGTCAGGTAGGTGGCACAGTTGATGGAACACCAGGCCTGGAGTCAGGAAGACCCATCTTCCTGAGTTCAAATCTGGCCTCAGACACTCACTAGCTATGTGACCCTAGGTAAGTCATTTGACCCTGTTTGCCTCAGTTACTCATGTGTAAGATGAGCTGAAGAAGGGAATGGCAAACCACTCCAGTATCCTTGCCAAGAAAACCTCCAATGGGGTCACAAAGAGTTGGGAAAGTTGAACTCCAACCTTTCCAACTCTACTGGTGACTCTCCATCCTCTTTATCACCTTGCTGCTTCCCTCAATTCTAGATTCTGTGTTCTTTTAAGCTCTGAAATACCATATTTCAAGTCTATATAAGGAAAAATTTACTAACAGAGCTACCTGAAAAGGAATGGGATACCTAATATGAATTTCCTGTTCCTGGTTGTATTCAAATGGATGTTGGATGAGTACTTTTTATGGATTTTTTTAGATGGAAATCTATCTATCAATTTATGGTTGTAGTGGAAGATATAAATCTTTTTTCCAACTCTGAATCTCTGAAAATTCAAGGCTCTGTCTACATTTTTGCAAACTGTCTAGCTTTGTTAACTAGTTCCAAGAAAGTACCACGTTAAATTAAAATGGGGGTACTGAGTTCCACAGGAAAACTATCAGATTAGGTACATTTACATTTTGAAGAGGTAATGCAACTTGGTGGATTAAGGGCTAGCCTTGGATCTGGAAGAACTGGGGTCAAGTTCTGCCTTGGTTACATATTATTTGGTTGATCCTGGGTGAGTCAGTGACTTCCAGTGCCCCAGGCAACTCTCAGAAAGCATCAATTACGCAACAGTTGCCAATCTTTATTGGTGGATGGAATGTCCACACCAAGAGTTCCCTATACCAACAGAATTATAGAGCTGGAGCAAAAGGAAAAAAAAAATGAATGATATCACTGTTCAATAATGTTGGATAGAATCCCTCCATGGAAGGTCCTGTCTGTATGGAAAACTAGATGTGGGCTCACCTTTCACGTTCTTCCTTCATTTTTTCTAGTTCTTCTTCCTGAAGCATGCTTTGCTTTAGATTTCCCTTCTGTTCATTTTTTCCACCTTTGTCCTCTTTTTTCTTCCCAAATCTGGGAAAACACAAAGGGGAGCAGGGAGAGAGATAAGAAATCATTAGTAATAATCCTATTATCCTTACAGTTATTCTTAGTTACAATGATTCTTCTGAAAACACTGCTCTATAGTATTAGAAAGCACATTTTACAGACAAAAGTATAACATAATAGAAATAGCATACATTAATTTAGCATTCTAAGGTCTAAAAAGCACTTTCATCAAAACAACATTATGAGGTTGTTTAAAAAATATATATATACACACATAAATACATACATACATAGACACATATCCCTCATACCTGAAGATTTCAATATTCAAACTGACATCCCCTTGAATACCTAGACCTCACATTTCATCAACCTCAAAATCTTGATCGTCAGTGTACCTCAACCACCCAGAGGAGTAACCATATATGTGAGACAATGATGATATTGTGAATATCATTGTTTCCATTTTATAGATGAGGTGACTTAGGTTATGAGAGATTAATTAAATCAGGTGTAAGTAATAAGCATTTAGTAAGCACTTACTATGTACCAGGCACTGTGCTAAGTACTGAGGATAGCAATGAAAGGCAAAAACCAATACTTGCCTTAAATTAGCTCACGTTTTGATGGGAGAGACAACATGCAGATAATTATGTACCTACAAGACATACAAAATTTAATGGAATGTAATCTTAGAGGCGGCAAGGTGGTGCAGTGCATAGAGTGCCAGGACTGGAGTCAGGAAGAGCTGAATTCAAATGTGACCTTAGACAGTAACTGTGTGACCCTGGGCAAGTCACTTTCCTGAATAAAATGAGCTGGAGAAGGAAATAGCAAACCACTAACAGTATCTTTGCCAAGAAAAACCTAAAAGCGGTCATGAAGAGTTGGACACGGATGAAAATGACTGAACAACAACAATCTCAGAGGAGGGATTGGGGTCAGGGAGAGGAGGATTGGGAGGGCGAGAAAAGCATCCTACCGAAGGAGTTGAGCTATCTTGAAGGAAGTCAGAGAAGCCAGGAGGTGGAGGAGAGGAATGAGAGTGTGCCAGGCATGGTGGACAGGATGGAGTGTCAGGTGGAACGGATAAGAAAAAGGTAGGTGTTACTGGATCATAACCTATGTGCTACAGAGTTAAGTATAAGAAGATGGAAAAAGTGGGAAGAGGACATATTGTAAAAGGCTTTAAATGACAGAGCATTTTATATTAGATCTTGGAGGTAATAGGGAAGTTGCTTTCATAGTCAGATCTGTACTTTAGGAAAATCACTTTGACTGCTCAGTGGAGGATGACTAGTCTGTGGGGAAAGCTGGTAAATACATGAGAAAGGAGTCAAACTGAAGTCTCTTGACTCCACTAGGTAGAGCCCCACACTCTATCTAGACCACTAAGTCCATTGGTAGAACTAAAAATAGAATGGGGAGACTGTTGTTCATTTGTTTCAGTTGTGTCTGACTCTTCATGATCCCATTTGGAGTTTTCTTGGCAGAGATACTGGAGTGGTTTGCCATTTCCTTCTCTAGCTTATTTTACAGATGAGGAAACTGAAGCAAAAAGGGTGAAGTGACTTGCCCAGGGTCTTGCAGATAGTGTCTGAAACCAGATGTGAATTCAGGAAGATAAATCTACCTGACTTCAGGTGTGGCATTACATTCACTGTACCCTATCCTCTACTGTATGACTCTTCCATTATGCCCTATGAAACCCCTACTCAGGCTTTTTACAAAATCTTCATTTTTTGTCTCACACTTTCTTTTAACTTCACAGAAACTTGGCCTTCTAGGAAGACACCATATGTCTGGGATCTCCAGGGGCGATTATTTCTTCTCTCATGCTCTTGTCACACAGGGCCAGGAGAAAAAAAATCAGTATGCTTTTGGCTCCATATTATCAATTTGTTCTCTACTACCTCCCATCATTGCAACCTCATCTCCTTTGAGGGTCATCCCATGCAGGTATTTAACCCTGTCCAGAGCTCTGTTTCTCTCATTTAGAGGATTCTCTCATGAGAAGTTTTCAACCTGGCTCACAGTCTTCCTTTTCACCTCAACTCCCGCCCTCATATTTGAGGATTTCAATATCAGACTGACATCTATCTTCTTGAATATTTAGACCTCAGATTTCATCAGCCTCAAATCAAATTATCTTCAATGTACCTCAACCACCCAGAGGGGTAGCCAGATCTTAGATCTCAGCATCACCCATAATTACACTGAAACTTTGAAATTCTTCTCTTTGAGCTAAATCTGTCCTATCTTTCCTTCTGCCGTACTCTTAAATTTATTCTTCATCCTCACCATGACCTTCAGTTTCTCCTTTCCTTCCTGTTCTTTTAATCTATCACCCCTATTTTGGTTTCACTTTCTTCCCTTCTTAGGCTCATATATACCAGTTCAGATATACAAAATTCTCCACCTTTGACTCCCTTATTTCCTTACTATACCACCATCTTGCCTAGTTGTGAACTCAGGGTCATCCCTACCATCTCTTCTCTCCTCTCATCTCTAGCTGCTGACCATCACCGAAGAAAGTCACGTAACTCTTTCAATTGAGTTTACAGAAAATTCATATTATCTAATGTCAAATGGATTCTCATTGTAGCTGTGGTATTCCTATTCCCTGATCATACCTCTGAAGCAGCTATTCTAAACCCCCTACTTTCCTAAACAAAGCACAATAATTTTTCTTGAGCTCTCCCAACCCACCTTTATTCTACAACTCAAAACTCTACATCTTGAAATATTCTATCCTCCTTTGCCCTGGGAAAGGGGCAATCCCTTTCTTTCCCAAGGATAATTCTACTACTTGCGCCTTTGATCCCACCTCCTTTAGTCTTCTCTGGAACCTTGCTCCACTAACCATACCCCTCTCCCCAACAACACATTCTATCACTGCCTAAGCCCAGGTCTTCCCTATGCTGATATAAGGGAGCTGAAAGCTTGACAAGGCTTTAGGACTTGCTGGCTACATACATGTACATACATATATATATATATATGTATGTATATATACATATATATAATGAAGGCAGGAATTTGACTAGGCAAGGATAAGGTAAATTCCTTGCCTCCGAAACTTTTTTTTTGTCTCTGTATCCTCCCTTTTCCAAAATTCTCTGAATGGGAATGATGATGTAATTCTGAAATTGAGGAAATTAGGGGCCCTGGGCTCTGAGAGGCCTGGCAGTTGGGGGAAAAACCTCTAGTGTGGAGGATGATGAGACACCATCTGGACAGTTGGGTGGGAAGAATATACCATCTAGGGGATGCCATTCTTCTTTGCCTTTCCTTCAGTCCTCCTCCCATCACCTCTAGGCCACCCAATCCAGACCCCATCCCAGCTGCCACATCAGCAGGACATCAGAGTCCAGCCAAAGCCCATGGGTAGACTGGGTGTAATTGGCTTTTTATACCACTTGGATGAGTTACAAGCCTTCCAGTGAAATGGAGGACCATTATATCTTACCATCTGCCCCACCATTGCATCCTACAGTCCTTCAGGCCTTACCATCTGCCCTGCCACTATGCTCTCCAGAGCCTTGTTATCCAATCTGCAGGTACATCCTAATGAACCCTGAGTCTTTCCATTCACCTTGTCACTGTACTCTTAGGATTTGGGGCTTTTTCATCTATCCTTCAACTGAAATCTGTTACATGAGTTGTCTCCCCAAATTAGAGTGTGGTATCCTTGAAAGCAGGAATTCTCATAATATTTTTTCCTATTTGTATTCTCAGCACTTAGAACAGTGCTTGGCACAGAGTAAACACTTAACAATTTTTTTTCATTCAAACACTAGTTGTAGTCAAGCCAACAAAGAGGAATAAAAATTGAGATCTTTAACAGACGTAAACTAGGAAGTAGAGTTCAAAAATAGATTAAATCAGAGCACCCTCTTCCTAGTTAATAAAACATTCTTCTCTATATTATAGAGAGCTTGGTAGCTGGGACAAAGGATCTCCTGAAGATTAAAAACAAAAAAGCCCATTCTAGGTATGACTCTGTATGGAACAGACAGAATATGCTTTAATGAATAAAAAAAGCCTAAATGGTTTCCCCCCCGTTCATATATGGCTAAGTATAAAGGATATTGCTTTTCTGAAGGAGCTGGGGAGAATCTCAAGACTTTGAACTAAAAGAGCATGGCAGAATCCACTGTTCTCATACAGAAGAGATATCACCATAGACAAGGACTCCAGCTGAAGCTAGAACCTGCAAACAGAGAGAAATTCTGCCACCAACTGCCCAGTGGAGCTAAGCTTGGCACTAGAGCAATATACATCAGAGATGATGCACCTGGTGGAGATCACTGGGCAGTATGTCCAGCAGGAGCAGCAAAATAACAACATCAGAAGACACTGGTGACCAGAATCACCTGGATCACATATGTTCCCTCTGTATATGTTTCCTATCTGTGTGCTTATCCTTTTTATAAATGATGTATAGAGTATACCCTAAGAAATGCTTTATTTACTTTTCTTATACTATTTCATTAAATGCCTTAGCTTTTAATTGTGTCATCTGGGTAACTATTAAAGGAAAATACATTGGTGGATGCTCATGGGCTACTCTTTTAAGTGGATGTGGACCTAACAAAGTACCCTGAGCCTGGGATAGCCTTGTCTGGGGAATCTATTCTATGAGCATGAACAGACAACCCCAGTTACTATGAGGAAAAAAAACTCTTTATTTGGTCTTGCCATCCTCTATAGCTATCATTCTGTATCTCTTTGCTGTTTTACTGCCAAGCTCTTTGGAAAAACTGTCCATCCCCACTGCTTTCACTTCTTCACCATGAACCACTCACATTTCAGCCCTTTCAATCTGATTTCTGACTCCAACACTCTACTGAAATTGTACTATTGGTGGTTATCATTGATTTATTAACTGTTAAATTCAATGGTCTTTTCTCAGTTCTTATCCTCCTTGACTTCTCTGTAGTATTTGTCACTATCAATCTCTCCTTTCTGGAAACTCTCTCTCCTTCTTATCCACTGATTTCTATGAAACTACTTTCTCCTGA